GCGCCTTTAGGGACCCCTTCTTGCATCCCCCTCCTCTCCATCTGGCGCTTTTGGGAGTGCCCCCCCCCTCCTTTGAGGTGCCCTTGGGGGGGTCTTTACCCCCCCATCACCACTTTGGGGGGTCTCAGCCCCTTTTTGGGAAGGGGGAGGGGTTCCCTCCTTCTCTGGCTCCGTTTTGGGGGCACCACCTTGATTTTGGGGGTGCTGGGGGGGGGGCATTCCCACCTGCGCTGCATCCAGGTGTTGGTTTGGCTGGAGAATTCCAAACCCCCCTCCCAGATTTTGGTGCATGGAGTGGAGGGGGGGGTGGGGGGCTGGATGCGCCCACCTGGTTCCCTGTGGCTGCAGGAAGGGGATGGAAAAAGGGGGATGGATCTCAACCCCACCTTGGATTTCAGGGAGAGCTGGGGAAGGAGGGGGGAATTGGATCGCATCCTGCTCCCAGTGGAGGGGCTGGATCCCACCCCGCTCCCTTTGGAAGGGGTTATGGAGGGGCTGGATCCCACCTGGATGCCCCTGGAGCGGCTGGATCCCACCCTGCTCCTCACAGGGGGTTTTATGGAGCGGCTGGATCTCATCCTGCTCCCCATGGTTTGGGCTGGATCCCTGTTCCCTGGTTTATGGAGGAGCTGGATCCCACCCTGCCCCTCCTGAGGAGGGTTTGGAAAGGCTGGATCCCACCCTGCTCCCTCTGGAGGGGTTAAATCCCACCCTACTTCCCTTTTTGGAGGGGTTTGGAAGGGCTGCATCCCACCCTGCTCCCTATGGAGGGGCTGGATCCCACCCTGCTCCTCACAGGGGATTTTATGGAGGTGCTGGATCCCATCCTGCTCCTCATGGAGGGGTCGAATCCCGCCCAGCTCCCCATGGAGGGGGTTTGGAAGGGCTGGATCCCATCCCGCTTCCCTATGGAGAGGCTGGATCCCACCCTGCTCCTTGCGAAGGTGCTGGATCCCACCCTGCTCTCCTTGAGGGGTATCATGGAGGGGCTGGATCCCATCCTGCTCCCTCCGGAGGGGTTAAATCCCACCCTGCTTCCCTTCTTGGGGGGGTTTGGAAGGGCTGGATCCCATCCCGCTCCCCATGGAAGGGGTTTGGAAGGGCTGGATCCCATCCCGCCCCCCACGGAAAGGCTTTGGGAGGGCTGGATCCCACCCTCCGCAGGATGATGGGGAGGGGGCTGAATCCCACCCTCCTCCCCGGGAAGAGGTGATGGAAGGGCTGGATCCAACCCCATCCCGCTCCCCGCGGGATGCTCCGCTCGGGGTCGGGAGGCGGCGGATTCCCGGGATGGATCCCATGGGATGCAGGAGGTGTTTTCATGGAGGTGTAAGGTGTGGCAG